ACTGCCCACACTCGAGCCAAACACACAGGCTTCCAGCGCGTGCTGGGGAGCTGCAGCAACGCTCCCGCAGTGGAGCTCGCTGAAGGCAGGAGCCAACGAGCACGCTGCGCCTGCCCTGCGCTGCCCTGCGTAGCCACCTCTGCTCTTACCGCTGAGCGGGGGGGGTCTTCTCCTTCTTGCCCTGGGAAGAGCTGTAGTCGCAGGAATCTGACTTCTGCAGCAAGAAGCCCAGGCGATGTTTCATGTCTTTGGCACTGCAATGAACAATTCAAGAATTAAATGAAGATAAAGTGTTAACTCCCTCGGCAGCCTCTTCACCAAGTGCAAGCACTTTCAGACAGACTCAGTGACACCAAGGCAGCTCACGCTTAGTGATACCAGTGCTGACATTTCACTCCTCTGCTTGAATTTCTGTTACAAGGCAAGCACCACAGTCAAAGAAATGCCATTTTTCACTCTCAACAGTTCAAGCTTCTTACTGAGAAGGTCATCAGCCTGAGGGAAGCGATGGCAAAGGGAGAGAAGCTCTCATAGTCCTGCTGTTTGCTACCACTACAAGACTGCAAAAGGCGGGTACTGCCATTCTGTAGATGCTTCTCCCTGAACGCCTGGTTCTCCTACGCTCAGCATCCATCCCTCCTGTCTCTGCCTCCTCCCCACCTCATCACTGGCCTGCAGTGGCAGCCAGGCCTTGCAGCACAGAGGCGGATGGAAGAGGCAGAGAGAACCACACGTTAGCCCTTTCTCCACGCAGGCTCCTAGGAGGGGGCGCATTTACTTCTGCTCTGCTTTGCAGCACCATCAGGCCACACAATACAGATATGCAACTGGCTGTGCTCTCAGCACCTCTCGGGATTTGCTTTCCACTTAAGATGGGTGCTGGCAGCTAATCCATCCCGCTTGCTCCGAGCTGTGTGCCCAGGATGCGCCGCAGGGCTGAGCCCTAGGACAACCTGAGCAGACTCCATTCTGTGCCAGCACTACCGAGCTGAGAGCGAATGAAACTTCTCTCAGGCAAAGCTGTTGTGCCCAGGGCAAATCTGGGCCCCAAGTGGGCAGAGCCAGGGTGCTGGGGAGGCACCAGCCCCGCGGCGCTGGGCGCCTCTCAACGTGAGAGCAAAACCGCGCTGCTCCGCGAGGAAACGAGCGGCCGCTGCTGCGAGCGGCTGCTGCAGCTTCCTCAGACACGGGGAGCCCTGGCGGTGCCTGGACACAGCTTAAAGATGTCAATTTGGGGATTTTTTAAAAGCCTTCTATTTTTTTTTTAACTCTATCAAAGTTTTCTGCAAATTTGGGGCGGGGGGAAGGGGGTAGTACTTTTTCACTGCTGTTTCAAAGCCACCGCAAGCAGGACATCTTCCCCCAGATGAGAGCAGGCCAGGGTGCCGCCTGCCCCTGCAGCCGCTGGGGCAATAACCCTCCACCTCTGCGAAATCCCCTTCGCCCGGCCTCCCCCTTCGCACCGTGGGCAGCCAATTGCCTCCAGTCACTAGAGAAACGAAGGAGGGGATGGAGGGGGAGACAAAGAAGGGAGTGCAGAGACTGCGGCAGCAGGCAAAATATCAAACACAGCAGCGCTGAAAGCTGCTTTTTTGCCAATGGTAAGGGTGGGCTGAGCATTGCCAGAGCTCAGCACAAAACCTTCATGCAATTCTGCTCCTGACTAATAGAAAAATAATTTTTAAAAAGCCCCAGAACAAACCATTCGTAGCTAATCTTGCAGAGGAATCGAGCCAAACCTGCCACTCCTGCTTCACACAAAAAGCAACCCACCAGCACATCTCGAGTCTAGCCCACCACAACAGATGCTCTGAAATAAGCAGTACCTTTTCAAGCACGTGGCTGGCAGTGCAGCGAGTCCCTTGCACATCTTGCTCCCAAGGTCAGCTCTGTATTCCAGGAAAAAAAAAAAAAGAAATGCAGGAGGCTGCGTGCGTGCGGGTCCTTTGCCGGCTGCGGATCCAGTCTCTCCTCCAAGGCAGCTGCACTTGGCTCTGTTTTATAGCACAGCCCAGACAGCCCCGCAGAGCTGTGACCCAGTCAGGAGACAGCTCCGCTGCAGCACCCATCCCCTTTTTGCCCACCCAGGAGGAAGCTGGTGACGTCTAAGACAAGACAAAGCACCGAGTGGGACTGAAACCTTCCTGGAGATGAAGCTTGCTGGCTGTCTGCAAAGGAGGATCTTTCCAGGGGCAGAAAAAGCCCCCGAGGCCCTGCAGTGCTGAGCTTGGCAGGGTGCACACACAACGGGGATTTGGGAGGGCCAAAGATAGCGAAAAGGGTCAGAGAAGCAACCTGGAAAAGTGAGATGAGCTTTGCATTTTTTTTTTTCCCCACTCATTTTCCCCTTTTATTTAAAGCAGCCTGGAAAAAAAAAAACCCAAAACTAGAATTTTAAACACAAAAGGCTCCCATAATCCAGCAAAGGCAGAAACGAGAACTCCAAGGAAACAAGAATGGAAAATCACCAGGCAGATGAGCTTGTCCTGGTTTATTTTAGAGCCATGGGATACGTACCCGTGGTGGCGATGCTGGCAGAGCCGGCTCCGCGGGGCAGGTCAGCGCTCCGAGGGGCAGAGCACAGACACACGCGCGTGAGCCCATCCCAGCACACCCGGATCTGGGCAGCGCACGGACACGCGCAGGAACGGAGAGGCAGGAGGCTGAGAACGTGGCTGCTTTGGGCGCGCTGGTATCACTGCAATACTTCACTTCTCCATTTACATTTGCCTCCACTCAAAACCCACAGCCTTGGCACTCGAACGTACCGCTCCCTAATGGAAGATAATTTATTAAAACCATGTGCAAAACCGTGTCTGCTCCGAGAGGAGTGCTGGCAGGTCTGAGCCCGCTGTACGCTAAAGGACACTGCTCCCCTGGCCAGGCTCTTTGCTGCGGTGGTGGGAACGGGAAGGGTCCAAGGAGGCCATGCTGCCCCGCTGAGGAGGACGCAGTGGAGTCTCAGCCCTCTCAAAGTATCATCCCAGATATAGCCCATCAGGTCACAGCTGTAGATCGTGGGCACCATCCTCCCTCCTTCTCCATAGGGGTACCCGTCAGGAGGACGTGCAGCCTTACGGGCAGGCAGGGAGGGCTCCTGGCCCCACAGGCTTGGCTCTGGAAGGCACAATCCACATCGCTCACCAGGCTTCTGCCCCACACAGGGAGAAGATCCCAAATAACTCCCAAACTTTCCCATTGGCACCCTCCAACCTGGCCACAGCATTTCATGCGCCTCTGCTAGGCTGGTACAATTTTATAGGCCTTTAAAGATCAGTCCAAAACAAAACACTGCTTCAGCCTTAAAATAACACCTGACCCGAAGAGAAAAACACCTAAGGAGCATTTAGCAAATACCAGGAAATTACACACTGTGGCCTGGGAGACACATCTTGAGACAAGGGCATAAAACAAAGCACTCTCCCTTATCAGCCCTGCTGACTGCACCCATGCACGTCCTCACTCGCCAGCGGAAGGCTGCGGAGGAGCAGGGAGTGCAGGGGATGCTGTTTCTGTGGCCATTGCCCAGGGCCAGGCTCCCAGAGGCTGTTGCCCTCCCTCCTAGCAGCACGAAACCCTCCTGCCTCGCTCGCTGCCCCTCTCCGAGCTGCGGGACGCACCAAGGAGGCGGCTGCTGTGTCGCTGGGGACGGAGAAGGGCTGACCCGGGCGCTGCGAGGACGTGCAGCTGGGACAGCCTCTCCTGGCACCAGCTTCTCCCCGGGCCCATCTTGCCAGCAGAGGCCCCCTCCTCTTCCTCCCACTGCGCCCTGCACAGCTGGCCCGGCCTTGGGACCAGCCCAGCAAATCCCCCGGGTGTGCGGGGGACACGAGCAGGGGACCTGCTGCAAAGAGGGGCCCTGGGGCTGAGCTCAGCTGCCTGCCTTATTGCTCCTTCTCCCCTGCCCCAACACGCCTTCCAGGAAAGCCCTTGCACTCCCATCTCCCCCCTGCCACAAGTCCTCCTCCAAAAGGACACGCGAGGGAGATGACATTCCCTTCAGGTAATAAGGGCTGCCACTTTGGCTGAGTTACTGCTAAGGAGCTGAGAGCACCCTCAAAGGACCACGTGCGTCAGGGCTTGGATGAATCAGCTCAGCATGAGCCTGAGCCTGAGCCTGACCCTGCAGCAGCCCCGTTTCCTCTCCCAGAGCACCCACTGCGACCTCTCTAAGACACAGGGAGAAGCCAAGCTTGTTTCCAGGGGCAGATTCCCAGAAATGGTGTCCCACAGCACAGCCTGAGGAAAATCTTCTTTCCCATGTCTCTGCAACACACAGCCCGGCCTCGCGGATGACCAAAGTCACGGCCTGCGTAACCCAGTCCAAAGATGCAGCCTTTTAGGAAAAGACACGTCTTCGCGACATCGTCCTGGCCAAAGGGCTGACTCACCACTCTGGCACGCAGTAAATTTGCTGCTCACAAGGTTTTGCAAGGGAGGCACCTCTGGACTCACCCAGTCACCTTTTAGCTTCTCTTCACCAAGCTAAAGAGGAGCTCTGCGAGGCAGGGCTGGTTTTCCCTGCTTTGGCTCATTCTTGCCGTTTCTTGCTGAACCTGCTCCTCTCTGCAGAAGACAGCAGATTCTAGGAACACGTTCACACAATTCACACAGTCAAACATCACACAATTTCCCTGTCAATCTCAGGTGTTTTCCATTTATACATGCACCTGCAACAACAGCAGTTTTCCATAATTTCTAAGTGCTTAGAGTTCCTGTTCAGTTTTCTTTCTGAAGGAACAAGACTTTTGATTGGCCCATAAAGGCGTTTTTTTTTTCTCTCCTGGTTTGGGTTTGCTAATGAAAAATGATTATTGTTCTAGTTCCCAGAGTCACAAACAATAGAAAAAGATACAATTTGTGTAATTTTCTTTCCAAATTCCCAAATCTCTCCCTCATCAGCCATCTTGATTAACATCCCCTTAGACACCTAATCTTAATCACTACAGAAGTTCTGAATAACACTGGGCTATAAACCAGGCCAAGATACACCTCTACACTGCTGTTTTACCAAAGTTAAAAACACTCTTAAATCTCCTGCTTAGTCAGTTTAAGTCCATTTAATATAGATTTTAGGACATTTTTGTTCAAATATTGATAGCAAATCACATTTCACACGACCTCATAATTCTTATGAGGTAGTCCTCAAAAAAATTCCATTAAGCTCATTAAATAAAGCCTATTTTTCCATTAGAACATATCAGCTGGCATCAGTTGTATCAGCAGTGCTACAGTGAGTCTGCTATCATCTGCACTAATAGTGTTTCTACAGTGACCAAAAGGTTAATAGTGCTATGAATTTACAGCTTACCCCTTCTTACGGTACGGCTCTCCCAGGATCCTCCTTTTATTTTACCTAAATGTTAAAAATTACTAACCTCGTATCAAGAGCTTTTTAGTCTATTCCTACAGGAACCCTCCTGCAGGCCATTTGCACTTACTTGATATTAAAAACCTTACATAGTTTTTAATACCAACCCAGGGCAGCGTCACACTTGCTGTGGTGCTTGCGAGGGACGCCAAGCAGCGCTCGCAGGGGATGTCCCAGCTCTGCCCACAGCTCCACTGGAGGTGCTGGCCCTCCGTCATTGCTCCTTTTGCTCCCAAAATGTGTCTGTGTGGGGGGAAAGCAGCTGCTGTTGTCCTGTCCGTGCATTAGCAGCCCCTCCTCAGGCCACACACCTGGGCTGAAGCAGAGCTGCTGGGCAGGCTGCTGTGCTCAGGCAAGGGCTCTCTCGAGACGCACTGTCGCTCACAGCAGAGAGTTTTACCTTCATAGTCATCAGATCTAAGCATTTCCACTCCACGCTTTGACCTGGCGTGCGGTGTAATAGGAAGCCAGCCGCTGCTCATGTAAACACCCCACTCTGTGTTCCTTCACATCCTTCTTTGCAAGCTGCTTGCACTTAATACTTGATGGTTACTTAGAAACTCCCTGTGAAGACAGGAGCGGTGGTGGGTGAAGGTGGAACACCTCAGACTGGCCCCTCGGGGCCCATTCCCATGGAGTTGGAAGATGCAGACCTTTGCGCACACCCTACTCGCGAGCCCATCGCTTCACCCGAATGTGCCATAAGGTGGAGAGAGGAGGAGACACCCAGGGAGGCAAGAGGGTTGGTGCGTCAGACACTAAGAGCATCAGCCCCTGCTTGCACAGGGTACAGCTACCAGCTGTCTTAGCGCCTTAGCAACCCAGCTGTGCAGTGACTTCTTTTCTGCGGCTTCAAAGAACACGACTTTTTGAAGTGACTGAAGAATCTTCTGCCTAGACAGCTGCTGGAGGACGTGTAGGTACATGGTGCAAGGTTAAATCTTTTGTAGCTGCAGATCTAAGGAGATAAAAGTGCTATGCCTTAATTTTTGAAAACCCTCCTCGCTTCTCTGCTTTTCCGAGCGGCCACCCCAGAAAGGGCTGTGCCAGGGAACAGAGACTCCAGGTTTGTTTAGACTGCAAAGCTCAGGGGACATTTGGTCACTGGGGTCACTGTTCAGCTTCCTAGGCGCCCTGCTACTGCTCTGGCCACAGTTTAGTTGCTTAATTCTCTAAGCCTGCTTACAAAAGGCAGCCTGGAAGCAGCAAACATCCGTCAATGTCTGCCTCCAGGGCATGGCTGCTATTTAAAAGGTGATGTCTGACAGGTCTGTGGCTTGGAGAGCGTCAGGATTGCAGGCGAGAGAAATACAAACACAAGGACAAGCATCTGCAGCAGAGAAACAGCAACCATTCAAAGCACCTTGTGATGCCAGCCTGCTAAATGCAACGGCAGAGTTGACCTGGGGTAGACATAAATGCCCTTGATGTGGCGCTAACCGGGCCAGTAGTTCTGCCAAGCCCAGGTACTCAATGGATCCTCAGCCCTGACGTGTCCCTCTCCTAGGCCTGGGGACAGCTAGTTTAGCAGTCACCTAAACAAGGCCATAGAATAAAACTGCACTGAAAAAATAGCTGAATTTAGCCTTAAGTTCCTTGGTCTGTTTCCTGGAAGTGAATTAGACAGAAGGAAACTGCAAAAGTGGCAGACCCCCAACGTTGCAAAATTTGAAACTGAAGCTGTAGGAAAAAGGCACTTGTTGAAGTGGACCCCTGCCCAGAAATATGTACTAGTACATAACAGACATGCAAAAAATCACTGGAGCCACATGCTTATGTTATTTAAAATCTGCACTGCAGGAGTGCTTAAAACCCAAGCAGATTCAAGCTCTGCTGTGCCACAGAAAAAAATACAGAGAAAGAGCTGGGTGCAGAATCGATGGCACATGGCATGTGGCTGTGCCCTGCAGCCGACAGCCACAGCTGAGAGCACATCTAAGGCTTCATCATTTAGACACTTCTGCCTCTAGGCAAACAGGCTCTCCAAAAAAAGACACACACACACAAAAAAAAAGAAATTCCACGCTGTTTTATTTCATCCTCTTGAACTTCTCAGTAGGGTGCCTGTGGCTGCAATCTCACTGTCTCTTCTGAAACTGTGTTTGCTCTTGCAATCTTCCGGCCCAAGTGCTTTGGGTGTTTCAGCTGGGAGAAGCAGGTTTAACGCAGAAGCAACTATATGGGCTTTGGCACTTGTTTTGAGTGAGCTTCCAGTATCCATAACTAGCTCTTTTAATACAGGACCACTTGGAAATTTCCACAGGATGAGGCCTCTAAATGAAGGGATTAAAAAGTAAAATAAATAAATGAAGAGATGCCAGGAAGAAATCCAGCTTCCACAGCCGTACCAGAGCACTTGCAGCCAGGAACAGCCCATGTACTAAGTGGTGTCATAAGCAGCTTTCCCTGCACCTGCCCCATCCCTTGCTTGGTGTCTGCACTGCTTTATCACTGCTGGGAGAGAGCTCCAGGTCTCACAGATGCCAGAAATGTTGCTGGACTTTGGCCAGGGAAATGATGGAGCTGGGGTGCAGGAGGAGGTTCTTCTCTTCACATTTTAAAAGTCAGATTGAGCGTCTTCCTAACCAGATGTCATCAAGATGGTGGTTGGAACTGTAGCTCGGCCTTCTCTGGCCAGGGTGGCAGAGGTCACACCTCTCGACAAGAGGGGACTTCCAGGTGTCACTTGTGAGACCTGTGCTCTGTTGTCTTGTGCTCTGCTGCCCAGGCAGCTCCTGTGAGGAAAGGGACAGGCCCAGGCAAGGCCTATGAGAAGACACTAAGAAACAAGAGAGTGAATGGTGTTGAGAGCTAGTCTCACCTGGAAAGCACCATCACACACAGCACAGAGGCACGGACAAAGACTCAGCTCTGTTACACGTGCCCTATCTCCCTCCTGTCAGCAGACCCAGGCCATACAAGCACCTCTTGAAGAGGCCGTTGAGGGAAGGCCAGGCCAAGGATTGACTGGCAAGAAAGGAGGGGAAGACAGCGAGGCCATGAGAGCTGGGAGACAGCAGGGGACAAAGTGCACAGCAAATACGGAGAAGACGCAAGGCCACATGAGGAGACACCCCAGAGATGAGCCGTGGGAAGGAGAAGGATGCATCTCCTGGCAGCTGGACAAGACAGCCCATGGGAACACTGTCCGGCAGCTGGGAATCTCCTGGGGAATTCGGGTGTCACAGAGGGACCCCGTGCGTGCCCTGTGTGCCTTGCTACCCTCCACAGGAGCACTGAGCCACTGCTACAGGCTTCAGGGACAGCGCAGGGGGACCTGTGCACAGGCCTCCAGCCCTGAGCCTGCGCTCAGCACTGTGTCCAACCAGCTCTCCTGATATCTTGTGCTTGAGAGTCACGAGGGAGATGAGCTTACATTCTCGCCGGGCATGAGCAGCTAAAAATACTGCTAATATAATGAGGATGAGAGATGGTGGAGTAAGAAAGCCCAGAAGCCCCTTACGGTCATTAGGGGCTCCTGCAGCTCTCAGTGCTCGTCAACAGCAAATGTTCTTGTTTGTTAGGCAAAGAAGGAAATTGCCTCAGACACTGGCAGATACCTGGAAGGCTCCATATTGGAGTGATTTCTTCCTGTCTCCTCTCCATCCCTCTATTGGATCTGCTTTCTTCAATACCCTGGCATTTCTACTAACAAAATTTGCGGGGCTTTAGCTGCCAGCAGGTGTGCACAGAGCATTTGGTAATGTACCACACCAAACGCTGCTCTGGAAGAGAACACACCGACTATCTGCCCATTTCCTAGGCCAGAAGCAAGCTTAAAAGCAAGATTTCTCCTCATCAGAGGCAGTAATTGCCAAAAACACTCGCAGCCTTTTCAGTGTCATTATCAGATAGGGTGCAGCAATTTCTGTCCTTGTTAGAGAGTCTGCCCCCTCTAATTCAGGCTAGCCTATCTGCAGCAGAAGCACAAGATGGTTACTTTGTTAGGCACATGCTGATAAAAGAAAAGCAGAGGCCTCAGGAGGGGAAACGGCAGAGGGATCAAGAGAGCCGGATCCCTGCTGCTCCCTGTCCTGAAGACACGGTGACAGGTACTCCTGGCACAAAAGGCCAGGGAAGAAACCTACCTGTGTCACACCACAGCCAGCTGCCTCGACGTCTTCCCAAGATGTGGAGCTCTTGTCCTAACAGCAAGGGCATTCTCCCTTGGCAGAAGGACAGAGCTTTGAATCAAAGAGCTAGCATGAAACCCTGACCTGGTGCTGTCTCCCACCTGCCTCCCACCCACGCTAGCTCTAACTGTATTCTGCTTAATGCACAGCCCTGCACAGACACTGAGTAATTCCTGTCCCCTGTACGACTAAAGCAAAGGAAATTGCTAATTTAGGCTTAGAATCATTCCAGACGTTTTCGGGGGGTTTGCATCTTCTGTTCAAATAGATTTGGCCTCCGGGAAAGTCACCTTGCAATGTGAGCTGCATTTACAATGACAGGTAGCTGATGTAAAACAGGCTCAGTGGCAGTTTGGGAAGATAACTTGGGTAGCGAGAGGCCTGGCTCTGCCTCCCCATAGCCTCAATAAAACGTTTGATGTGCCTCCTCTCTGCACTTGATCACGTTCCTGCTGCCTCTGGGATTCATATTATGCAACTGATTGACTTTGCAAGATAGGAGAACAAAGTGTTTCCCTGCCCTGTTCCCTGATGTGCATTAAGTCTGTTAGGTTGAAAGGCTGCAGCAGAAATCCAAACAAGCCTTAGAGCATGGCTCCTCTCCTCACCACCGAGACCTCTCCATGAGGCTGGGGGCCTTAGTGCCGCAGCAGTGGTCTGAGGGCACCATCCTCGTCACGCTTGCGCTGGTCCGCAGAGCTCTT